CATAGTTACTATTGGGTAAGAAAATATATGTAAAAGAACTAGGGTCCCTCTTGTCCTGTAAAAGGTGCTGAATAAATTTATTTTAATTTTTTTTTTTTTTAGGGAAAGTCTGTGCAGGCTCTTTTGGAGTACAATAAAGCCTTTACAACCCACAGTGGAATAAGAGACTATGGCACTAACTTTAAATGGTTCCAAATAATTAAAATTGTCAAGGTTGTTGTTGGTTGTTTTTTTTTTAATCTAATTTTTATAGTTTCATTTGCTTCCCCTGGCGCATTCAGCTATTACTTCTGAATACCTTGGTGTGTTGACTTACAGTATACCCTTTCCTCTTCAATGTTGTTTGTTTCTGTTCCACGATGGCCTTGGAAGAAGGTAATCAAGCTTGTAGAGTTGTGTATATATACTAAGAATTAATATACTCCGATTCTCCTGTGAATAAAATGTTGGGCTCTGTGTTGCCGTTATAAAAAATATTTTGTCGCTACAACAACCAAAGCTGAAAAACTGGGACTCACGCTAGATTTTTTTTTTCTTCTTCCTCACTTACATGCCATGTCTACCTTTTAAGCAGTTCTAGAATCACCCACCTTCTCCCCACTTCCCGCTCTCATCAAAGCCGCCATTCTCACTTCTGCTCTAACCCAATCTGTTGACTCCCTGTTCAAATTCATCCCATCCTGGAAGAAAATTCTGAGTCGGGGAGCCACTGCATTTTTCTCCTAGATTATTGAGAACTCAGCCCAATTTAAAACAAATGGCCAGGTTAGCAAAATGGTAAGTTGTTTCTTTTGGAAACCATCTTTGCATTTTGTTTTCCCGCTACAGATGTGTTGCTAAGAGAGCTTTCACTTGGCAAGACCCACTATATTTTTGCAAGAAAACCCTGGCTCTGTATCCCAGACCTCTATTTTCAGGACCTCCCAGCCATCCTCAGAGGCTCCATTTGCCATCACCACAAAGGGAAACGACTCTACTAATACACATTCTTGCAAATTCCATGGAGGCCCATTATGACTTGTGAACGAAGAGTGAAGTCTAGCAAGTGAAGGGGCCCTTTCAAGTTTAGGTTCCGTAATCTGTGTACAAAGATTGCCCCCTTGCTGGTCAGACCACACACAGGGCGGTTCTGTGACCTTTAACAAGCCTAATAATAGGAATGAGTCCAGAGGACATCAATGAAGGTCCTAATATCAGAAACAATATCACATAAGCAATGACTAGTAAGCTGAGGCAAACCTGGAGAGGACTTCGCATGGGGAAGTTAAGGCATGGAAACGGAGGATCAGATCTGATCCATGGGGTACCCTAAAACGGGTGAAGCTCACAGGGCAAAACCCAAAACCTGGAGAAAGACAAATCTACCTAACTACGCACGATGGAATGGGCATGCCCTGAAATGGAACCTCAGTCACGGAAAGAGTTCAAGTGGAAGTTAGAGAAAACCACTTGTCAGGTGGTTTCTAAGAAGAGTTCATGAACTGAGACTTTCAAGCTCTTCCCTTGTGAAATGTTACGGATCCATGGAAGCCTCAAGTATCCAGGACCTGTGGCTTTTCCTATCAGAAGAATATCATTATGATTCCCAAGCCCCTTTCAGCCAAAATTGCTTGAGTGACCCAAATGATCTACAGAGTGTCTTGACCCTCTATGATGAAAGATGCTGCATACATTAAAAAGGGTAATTTTAGTCCTAATACATGATGGTAATGATGATGAATGGCGGTGTCAATGAGAAGAAGCTGGCCTGCCATGAGGGAGTCCAAAGCCACCAGCTGTGAGCTGGAAATAATGGGTGTCCAGGCCGGGAGGATGCTCGGTGACTGAGGCCCCATTAACCTTTCCACCAAAGACCTGCACCCAGCCCCTGATGGGGAGGCGCGAGCATCCGAAATGGAAAAAGAGGACAACGCTTATCCCTGAGCTGGAATACTGCCTTGGGCATATGAGACCTTTCCCCGGACAGGGAGCAGGTTATCTTCCTCTTTCAACAGAAGAGACAATTATGCAGGTCACAGGAAGAGCCTGAATTCCAAAATCGACTGATGACTCTTTAAACCCAGACCTCTTTCCCTCCTCTGCCATCCCCCAGACAATTCGAGGGAAGGCGAGACCTCAGAAAAGAGCTGACTTGGATGAGAAAATGTTGAACTGGTTCACGTCCTTCCAGATGCTTTGCTTAGCTGTTTTCCATCCACTTAGAAGCGTGCCAGTAAAATATTTGGCCCATGTAGCAGGGAGGAGCCATTCATTAATGTCCTAGGGCTGTTTGTGGGCGCCAGAGGAGCACGTGGCAGGAGCCAGCTGGGGTCTGTTGGACCAGGAGAGGACACTGCTTTGGGGCTTTGTCCAGCCTCAGATCTAAGAAGCCTAATTGCTGCCAGAGGCTTGAGTGATGCTCCCCACTGAAGGACTTGGCCTCCTGCTCCTCACACGTGCTTGGAGACCAGTCAGTGAGACAAAGAGGAAGAACCCTGCTTTCGGCCCTCAAAAATCCTCCACCGAAACGACTGGCGTCTGGGAGCTACAAAACCAGGGAGCTTGTTAGGAACACATGAATGTCTTACATATCTTTTTTCTTTTTTCCTACCGAGATTTTATTTGTAGTCTATAGCTTTGACTTGTTTGCATTTTGGCATAGTTTACTAGACTTCACAATTTGGAATTTATTCTGATCTTTTTATATAGTATCTTTATAGTTTTAACCTTATTAACTTATCAGTATTCTTTTCTGTGCTTATCCTTTGAAGCTAGTTTACTGTAAGCTGTTTAACACTTATTTAGTTTTTTCTGAAAATTACTATATTTTTTCTTTCTTAAAACATTTAATTATTTTAAGTCATTTTAATGTTATCTCTTGGATATTTTGTTTTCTTGTTTGTATTCCTTTATAAGTCTTACTGCTTCTGATTAACCTGTGTAATATTGCTCTATTTTCTCAGTTTTCTAAACTTGTAGCTTCTCTACTACTGATGTTATAAATTGCGGGTCCTTTTTAATTTTTAGCTCTTGAAATTATTTTTTCCTTCCATTTTTGTTTATCTTGTATTCTGTCCATTCCTACAGTAAAAAGAAGAATCGCCTAATTACCATAGGAAGGAGATTTAGTCTCTTTATACGAAGTCTGAAACAGGTATTTATAAATGTCAATCCTGCTATCCCAGCCACTAGCCCTGTGACCTTGGGGACCAGCCCTGACAGCGGAGCCTCAGCTCACAAACTCTGAAATGCTGACCCCTTCCATCAGACCTCATCGGACACTGGAATTCATCCTGTCATTGTACATTCTGAAGGCAGGTAAGGACTAGGGGGGAAGAAGTCCTACCCCAACCTTCTCTTTTCCAGCCAACCATTTTTCAACCACTTCAACCATTCTGTTTAGATCAGGTACCACCCTTTTTATATGTGTATGCACAATTCCATAAAAGTAGACATAAGCATCAAGAGTTCTCTACGATAAACCTTAAGAGGCAAATAAAAGCATTGGTCTTCACTCTGAGGAAATCACAGCTGCAGCTCTGATTGTTGTCACTAACCCACCATGTGACCTGGACGAGTCATTTGATGACCCTAGACACCAAATTTCCCCTTTTTAAAATGAGAGAGTTGAACTAGGTTATTTCCCAGAACCCCTCTGGGATTAATCGCCTATGAATCTATACCTTTCTATTTAAAAACCTATGAGACGGACATCAATGTGTATAAGTTCCTTGTTTTTTGTACCAGTTAACAAAAGTGGAAGAGAATTTTTTGCCTGCCAGGGTACCAAGGCCTCTCCAACCATGCCCACTGGGTGAAACAGCAGTGTGTTGCTATGGTAACATAAATGTCAGCTAGGTTGGGCCAGGCGCCCGACATACTTGCCATTGATGACACCATCTGGGTTGAGCATGGGGATGATCTTGAAAATGAAGTTTTCCCTCAAGAGCCGAGCCACTGGGTCGCTGCTCACCAGGAACTCCAGGGCCCCCTTCATCACCCAGCTGGCGTTGCTCTCTCCTGGATGAACGCGGGCGGTGATCACCTGGTAAGGACGTTGCCCTATAGAAAAAAGACACAGGAAAATTAAACCGAAATACACTTTTTTGTTTCCATCAAGGTCATTTCTGGGGGCCACCTGGAGATGTACATCGGACTGCCATGAAGTCAGGAGTAGCCTGATTGTCCCTCACACGTATCTGATACACATTTATCCACTTTCTACCTGCCTCTCTGGTCTGCAAGACTCAAGAAAGTACACAGTTAAAGCTCAAGGCTGTTAGGAAAAGCGGAAGCACTTAAAGGCATGAAAAGAAACCAAGAAGCAGATTTTAGCAAGGCCACTAACAAAACAATGAACTCTCCAGGGTCTAATAACAGGACGCTGGATGTCACAGGTATGAGACTGGCTCTTGTCTTTATCACGATCAGTTGTGACACTTAAGACAAGTGACTTAATTTCTCCGAAGCTATTGTATCATCTATAAAATGGGGACAATCATACTGATCTTATGTGGTTCTAGAAAAACAAAACGTTGTCAATAGAAAGCAGTGGGCATACTGTTTGCCATTCAGTGCACGTCAGCTCCCTCCTTCATCAATGCTGAAGTCTACGGGTAGGATGGCCCCTGTCATTCCTCAGCGGACACAGGAGTCAAGTGCATGCTGTGTATTGGGAATTGGCGACTGTAAAACACTGAACCCAGTCCTTGAGAGAGATCTGACAAAAGAGTGCAGTACCCAAAAGTTCAACCTTGGGGTCCTAGTGCTTTCAGATGGAACCAGGAAAACAGTCCCTGCCCAGTCACAGGGAGCGAGGAACATGAGTAGTATTAGTATTAACCTGGATAGACCTTATGGAGAATGCACTGTCTTCCTTTCTTTGTAGATAGAAGACATCTTGGAGCATCACAGTGTCAAGATATATTCTGAGACCATCCCTGGGCTGGGAAATGTGTTTTGATTGATTAGTGATGTTTGTCCGCCATACACTTGGAGAAGTGGTGGTGGTGGTGGGGATATGGTTTCATACCAGCCATTCACCATATCTGCCCTAGCCCCTTGTTTAATTACGTGTGTGCGTGTGTGCGTGTGCGTGTGTGTGTGTGTGTGGTTCTCACTCTCTTTTCCTTTTGTAGCCTCACCCAATTCCTTATTACTCCTAAGTATTTGAGTATTTGCCAAGTATAAATACCCCAGTCACTTAAACAGCATAAAGGTTAGTCATTTCTTTCTATACCGTTCAAATCACTATGAGTCAAATATGGCTTTTTCTTCCCTTCAACAGCAGCCTTTTTAAAGAAACAATGTCTCGAATTCTGTGCAAAGAAAGACAAAACTGAATAACGCTCAGAGATCTAAAGAACAAGCAATAGAAGATACAAAGAAATAAAATTTTATATCATATTACTAAATTACATTACTATTGCTATTAAGACCAAAAAAAAAATATTCCCTCTGTCAATAGCCATTGAGATCTAGGTTTAAAAGGCATAGATCAGTACATTTTTTTACTATGTTAAAAGCAGGTCACTTCAGCCCCTTGTAGATTATTCATATATTGGCGATAATATTCAGTTATGGTTTTCCTTAAGCAGGTGTCTTAGCATATTCCAGGAGCTGCAGGAGACACCAGGCAAAAACAGTTGAATAAACTATAGTTCTTATTCTGTCAGGGGCCAAAGAATTTGTCAGTAATGACAAACATGCAATCGCATAATGACAAGTAAGCACCAAAAGTAGATCTGGCTGAGAGAGGTAAGGACATTCTCAGAGATGCAATGTTATTTGGCCTGGATCTTGCAGAATAAGTATCATCTAACCAAAGAGAGAAGATGAGAAAGCGTCTTCCAAGCAAAGAAAAAGATCTATGCAAAGAACATGGAGGTGCTTTCAAGAATAAAAAGAAGCAATGAATGGATGAAGCCGTGGACTGAGGATGGTGGCACAGGAAGTTAGAGAAGTAGGCTGGTGTCCAACTGGTAAGATCCCTCCGTATGGTATTTTTAGGGGCTTGTATTTTATTCTGCAGATCAGCTTTCAGCCATGAAGTCAGCATCTTACTGGTATGCTGTGATCAGGAATGGGGTCTATTAAAGTATGATCAGTTACCAATAAAGGCGTAAATATACATACTACACACAGATACGTTGGGTTGTCGGAAAAGCCATGACTCATTTTTGCAACGAAAACCATAGAAAAAATACGTCATGACTTTTCCGACAACCCAATATTATATATACATATAGTAGCCCCCCATTATCTGCGGTGTCGCTTTTTCTACAGGTCAGATGCCAGTGGTCAGCCAAGGTCCAAACACGTTAAATGGAAAATACCAGAAATAAACAATTTATAAGCTTAAATGGTGTGTCATTCTGAGTAGTGTGATGAAATCTCACACCGTCCCACTCCATCCTGCCTGGGATGTGAATCATCCCTTTGATATATGCTCCTTGCTTGTTAGTCATTTAGTAGCTGTCTTGATTATCTGATCGGCTGTTACGGTATCGCAGTGCTGGTGTTCAAGTCCCCCTGGTTTTACTTCCTAACGGCCCCAAAGCATAAGAATAGTGATGCTGGCAATTCAGACATGCCACAGGGAAGCCGGAAAGTGCTTCCTTTAGTGAAAAGGTAAATGTAATACAATAAGACATTTTAAAAGAGAGGGAAAGAGACCACACTCATATAACCTTGAGTACAGTATACTGTGATAATCGTTCTCTTTTTTTTATTGTTGTTAATCTCTTACTGTGCCTGATTTATAAGTTAAGCTTTATCATAGTGATGTGATAGAAACATAACATATGTAGGGTTTTGTATGCTCCTGGTTTCAGGCATGCACTGGGGGTCTTGAAACGTATTCTCATGGATAAGGGGGGAACGCCTGTGTGTGTATGTGTCTATCTATATGTTTACATTTATCCCTGTAGTAATGTTACCCTGAATGGCATGCACTCAGGTGAGTTTTCTGGATTGGGGAGAAAAGAGTCAAAAAGCAAGTTGTCATGAGAATTATTTGGTATGTGTGTCCCAGAAAAGAACCGTTGAGAACCACTACTATAAGAAACAGAGAGTCAATGATAGTTTTTCAGCAAAAGAAAGACAGACCCAAGACCATGTTTCAGAAAAAGCATCGACCTTATGGTACATAATCCTCTTGTTTAACCAGAGACAGTTTGGGGCAGAGAATAACTTTTACAGCCATTATTTCCAGGGGTCAAGTTCAAGCCCCACTATTTTCTACCTAAGTTCCACACATTTCTGAAAAAAGTGAGTGTTGGATTGGGTGTTGTGCGCATAAGACAAATGATTTGCTAACTGAACTTACTAAAGAAGCTTATTGTGGGAGAAAAGAGATACACAGTTTGCTAGCTGAGCACAGTTGAAGTTAAATGAAGGTCAACTTTGCCACCATATGGTTTGCTCCAAGTCCCTTTTCACTCCTTCCCAAGCGAGCTGGATTGGCACTCCAGTGAAAAGCTGGTTGACAAATAAAGAGGCTTGATGAATTTGTCCCCAATCAGTAGCCTATTTTCGGTTCTCTAATTCCCTGTGCCTCGCTTTGTGGGTTTTGAACTATGTTCATTTACAGCATATTGAACAACAATACTAAGTGCTCCCGGCCCAGCAAGAAGAAATAAAAAACAGGCTTCAGCTTTTGTACATTTTCAACACAACTGAACCCTGTCACTGTCGGGGCCAGTCGGCTCCCACTTGCCTGATAGTCCCAGGACAATGCAGGCCATTAGTCAATAAGCCACAGGCTGCCCTGGCACATAGATGGCAACAGTATCTTTCCTTTGGAGAGTCAGGCGGATGGTCGGCTATATGGTAACACACCACGAGGCGAACATAACAGGCTGTGCTGAGCAGCCTGAAGAAGTGAAGGAAGCCGTGGGTTTTCGTGAAGAGATAAGCAGCATTTGAGCCATTTCTAGTTGATTTTCCTCTCTTCCTCTCTGGGGCTTAAGACAATTTTACAGTCAGATCTGTGAATTAAACGTATCAGATCATTCAGTCGTAGCAGCAAATGGTGCTCCAAAGAAGCCCCAACAGACAACAGCCTTGCAACATACGTGCCATGTGCTTTTTGTTGTAATTGACAATTTCAGTTTCAATACCTCCTTTCCGCTTAGGCGAGGAAAAAGAATGCCAGAGATCTGCATTTTTGTTTTTTCCTCTGCAATTGATAAAATGTATTCCAGGGGCCACCAGAATCTATGGGGCAGTCACGGTTTGGCAATATTCTAATCCTTAAAGTGACGTACTGAATTGACGTCCATGGTAATGGCATGAAAAGAGGTTAGAAACACACGGAGGATTGAATACGGCCTAAGAGATAGCAGGCTCAAGACAAGATATCAGGCATGAAGACATGTGTGATGATACACGTGTGTACCCAACTATACAAACGTCCATTCATTTACTCCTTCTTGCTTTCAACAATATATATTAAGCTCCCACTGACGCACTGCAAGGTTCTGGAGTTTCCAAGAGAAATAATGGTTTTTGCCCTCAGGGAGCTAATAATAGTCTGGCGGGAAAGACAGGCACGCAGACAATTATGATCCAGTGTGATCAGGAGCATTTGTCAAGGCATTTCCAAAGCACAGTGGAATGCTCATTAAGACATTATTTATAATAACATGGGTAACTGGAAATGACTGAAATGTGCATCCACAGGAAACGAGTTAAGGAAATGATACATAAACAGAATACTATGCAATCATTAAAAATGGGACATAGATTGCTTTATGTTGACATTAGAAGATATCTATGGCATAATAATGAGGGGAAAAAAGAGGCAAGACAGTTGCCCCAGGAAGATTCCATTTGTGTGTAGTTGCAACATTTACTTAACGATATCTACACATAGATGCACATCCGTGGCTGGAGGGCATCTGGGTAATTTTTATGTCTTCTTTCTCTTACAACGCTTGCCTCTTCAGAAAATAATCAGCATATGTTAAGTTTCATAAAGGCAAATGTTTCCAAACAGTAGTAAACCACAGAAGACGGGAGGGGGGGGGTGAATTTTTTCACAGAAGAGGTGACATTTGACC